CTGTAAGTTACAGAATTGAAATATCCATTAACATGCAAATACGCTGGTTGAGAAGATTGTTGGTTTTTATCAGTCACAAACTGCTAAGTTCACTCTGGTACTAGAGTAGTGGCAACACAAAGCAAGAATGGGCTAGACATGAGACAGAACATCAGAACACTTTTACAAGCACATAAGTCAGTGCAACACCATCCAGGATGTGCTGTGAGCCAGCAAAGGCTAGCATTACTCAGAATGGGAGAGGGAGGTTTAAGAGGAAAGGCAAGGGAGTTGGTACAAGCCAGTCTGGGTCCTAAGATTTCTGTACCCGCGCCTGTGCAAAAGAACCATCAGCTATGAAATGCACAGTCAGTCCTGTGAAAGTTCCTTTAATGCAGCCAAGAACTATTGACTGCTGGGGTCTTTCCTCATTAAATCACTGAAAAGGTACAAATGAGATCCATTTTTGTGTGATAAGCAGGACACACACATTCAGATCATGTCAATTGGCTGCTCAGACAGAACGTGAAGGGGAGAGAACAAATGCCAATGATTTGTTTCTGCAGGTACTTCTCATCACACTGCTTCAGGGTAACCTAAGGTCGATATTTTATCCCTGGGGCTTTTCATTCATCTCTAACAATCGAGACCAAGATGCTTCATCATCTAAAATGCCCTTTTCTATAAGGTGATCACTTTGTTAATATTCCTCCTGTACATGTTTAAAGTGGGCCCCTTCACTGTCCAGTTGGATTAACCAGTCTATTGGATGCCATGAGTGGAGTAGTTACAGAACACTATTCTCAGCTTGCCTATTGCATTCTCTCCAACATTCTCTAAAATTTAAAAGCTGCCCCCCCATCCACTATTAGAGATGGAAATAAATTCTGAACTGGCCAGATAATGGCTTGCTTAAAAGTCATACTGAGCATGCCAGATATGGTGGAACACTCCATTGATCTTAGCACTCTGGAGGAAGAGATAGGTGAATCTCTGTGAGATTAACGCCAGCATAATCCACATAGTAAGTCCCATGCCACTTGGGGCTACGTAAGTGAGACTATTTCTAAAACAAAATGAAACAAAATAAAGTCCTACTGGACAACATTGCTTAAGGCAAGATCACAAATGAACAATTACTAAATGCAATTTTGCCCACAGCCATGATTTATGTGCTCCATAGAGTACATTTCCACATAAAAATACAGACTTCTAGGATTTCTTGAAAATAACTTCAAACAATTTAGCATAGTGGACCCTACTCTCATTTGCCAGCAGTGAGAAATGGCGGGATGTTACAATTTGCTACTCCCTATGGCCTGGGACAGTCTATGTCACTATATATATATATATATATATATATATATATATATATATATATATATACTTGTCTGAATCCTAGAAACATTTGACAATTGATTGGAAGGCTAATGATTGTTTGGGTTCAGCCATCCAACTACTTTTCCTTGTATTGATTATTTGCATATTCACCAGAGAACCGGTTAATAGGGTTTGTTTCCTAAATGGCTAAAGCTCATTTCTAAACTGCACAAAAGCATTTGTTTATGAATGATTCACCAGCCGAAGAAGTCTGTTCATGCTAGATTTCGCCTTTTGTTCATTTACAGAAGTTTCAGTAATTTATGTCTCTCTGAAACCTCCTTAGGGCAGACCTCTTCTCACCCCAGGGACCTTATTCCATTATCTCGCTCATCTTCTCTCAATCCTTCCCTGTGTCTTCCATTATCACCTGATCTGCATTTTCACCTTCTAGGAACCAAATATCCTGCCTCCTCTGATTACTTCAACTAGTCCTCTTCACAAATTCAAGGTGAGAATAAAGGGGGAAAATGCTACAAAATAGCAAACAGCCACCTAAAATAGGCCTTGGGAAATAAAACTATTAGCTGTAGGCATATTGAGCAAATGACCTAAACTTGCAATTATGTATATTTTCTGTTCTGTCTTATTACTTATTCATATGGACATTCAAAGGAAATAAAAATAAATTTACAATAATGTTCTATAAGTACAATATGATTTATATAATAAATGTGTTGCAAGGAGATGCATTTAAGACAAACCCAATTTTCATACAATAAGAAAGCTATTTGAGCAAATATTATTGAAAATGTTTCATATAGGAAATCATTTCATTATCAAAGGTTAACTTTCTAACTTACCATTTTTTAATAGTTGGACCTTTTTAAAACTTGATATACTTAAATTAACCAGCACTTAACATTTGTTTTATTGAATACACTTTTCTTAGATTCATAAATTTTAAAAGAACATTTGGGAAACAACCTTTTAAAATTGATAATTTTATAAAACACATATGCTTGTAACACACTATTTTACCTTAATCTACATGATTTTATAATGAACAAATACTGTTATTTCCATATTAAAATTGCTCCCCCATGTTTTTATGCTACTAGATTCTAAACAAGTATGATTAGTATTTAATGTGATGCCAGCCTTGGATTTTGACGATGAGAATTAAATCATTGTAATTGCTCTGATAATGCTAAAATGCACAAGGCACCTAATACTACAAAAAAGAAACAATTTTCATATAGCAACTCAAGCTTTTCCATGTAGCAGCCATCTTTGTTTCTACATCAAAAATAGCATTTAAACTCTTTAAGTAAATATGAATATTTCTATCTTCTCATATGACTGATTATCACTGATTGACAGTGATTTTTTTTCCTGGCTCTCAGCTCATTTTTGATGTGTTGTACATAGTTAGTAAATTTGAAGTGAATGCACAACTGCTTTCATTGATTGAGGCTGCTGTGTCCATATACTCCCTTACCTTGTTTCCCTTGGTAACCAACCACCTGAATAGTCAATGAAAGGAAATGATTTGGGAACTGTGAGAATGTATTTGTACGATGTATGTACAAGGAAATCAAATCTATTTTGACCTTTTTTTTTTTGTAAACCACCATTCTCTCTTCCTATGTTTTTTTAAAGCATTCCTGCTCCTTGAAAAGCATAAAAGAGAATTGCCTCAAAAAAAAAGGTAAATTGTGCAAGTGATGTATGAAATGAAAATCTTGTAGAAGAGTCTGGGAAGATTCTTGTGGAAGAGGGTGAAAGATTCTCATATTACCCTTGCTGGGTCCTTCCACTTGACTCTGAGACATACTAACTTTTGAGAACCTCTGCATGATAACCAATGAAATATTAAACCCATAGTTCAATTATTGATAAATTTGGCACTTGTAAATTAAAGTGATATGAATGACCCAAATAAGCAACCCTAGCTTTGTTTCTCCAGGATCTGGAATGAAACTAAAGACACAAATTGTTCTCACCAAAATCCATTAGACGAGACTGTAAAGAAGGCTTGGTGCTTGGTTTATTATAGTTCAGCTTAGAACCAAGCCAAATACTAAAATGTCATAAAGCTTAACAAATGATTACCAAACACAAGAGTTAGTATGAATCTGATAAGAATCTGTGGTTATGGTCAAAGTGACCATGCCTTGTGCATGGTCAGGTCACTTATTAATGATAGGCCTGCAATTGAATCTTCTGCCATGAATGTGTCATGGAGGTTTGCTTCACATTGAAGAACTCAGAAACTAATCAAAAGCAGATCTTTGCTACTTAGGATTAGTCTAAAACAGTAGTTACTTAAAAAACCCATACAGAGAAAGAACATACATTTCTATTTCAAAGAATTACTTGAGTTTTTACAGAAGGTGTTCTGCAAATTGAATATGAGAAATAAAATTTTCATTACTTAAGATACAATATGAACTAGTGGATTGAAACTTGGGGATCAAAAATTTACCTGAACATAGGAGTTATATGTCTGAATGCAGAGATTATCAAGACATCTGATTTTAATACTATTCATAAAAGATCAGGCAAAGATAAACAAAAGTAGTTGATTAAAAAATACCATTAGCAAGTATATGTCTTAATTAGTCAAGTGGATGATACCAACATTAGGTAACTTAAGAGGTAATGATTAATTACATTACTCTTAAGTCAATTAGTGAAAATTCTGAATGCCAAGTCCTTAATGCTACAAAATCCAAAACTTATTGAGTACCAAGATGATGCCACAAAAAGTTCACATCTCACATCATATAATAGATCACAAGAAAGTACTATCTAAAATTACTGACATGTTATCTATATTTAAATTGATATAAAATAAACATATTTATTTAAGATTCCTGTAATATTTACATAAAACATATTAATATAATACAAATACATTTTATATTTATACCCACATCTCATCTCCAAGCTGTTTCATCATTTATATCCAAGTTTTCCAAAAATTAAAAATAATCAGGACTATGAGTCACTTCTGGTCCTTAGAATCTTAGGTAAGGACCATCTAACAGGTAAATAAACCAAGATTTGCAGATGAATAAAGAAAATTAAGTTTTGTCACACCATCTCTTGGCATGTGAGAAATATCATAATAGTTTTAGATTCCATCCTATGCTGCTGAAAATTAATTACTAAAATATTTGTCAGGTAAGAATATTCGGAGTTTGTCTCTTGTACTCCCATGAATTCTTACTTATTCTCACTTCTACTTGGAGTTTCTTTATCTAAGAATCCTAACTTATAATGAATTGTGTGTAAATGCAATTCAACAGATTTCATTCCAAAATACCAACAGAACCTCAAGTTAAAGACAGCCTTCAGCTAGATGGGGATTCTACCCATGAGGCAATATCTCAAAATCATTCCAGCATATCTCCTCAGAGTTATACACTGGCAATCAATGGCAGGTTGAAGAATTAAGGATGTTTCATAACAGCAGAGAACACACAGGCAGCCAAAGAGCCCTTGACCTCCAATCGCATGTTCCAATGTCTCTTTAATTCAGTGCAACTTATTAAAAGTGATGTTTCCAACAGCTTGATCTGCTGCCAATTCTAAATTCACAGAAAGTTGTCTTGTCTCATTAAATATAACTCTTCCCTATCAAACCAAATCATAATTAACTTGCATTTGTCACACTTTGGTAGAGCAGCTCCTACCTGTAACTTTCAGTTCTGTTGTTCGTCTTACAAGTTTTCCTTCATATTTAAGTTCACATGTGTAATTTCCTCCATCTTCTTCTTGAACTTCCTGAATGAGAAGAGCATTTCCCTTCTGTATTATGATGCTTCTCCACATTTTTGGCTTGCATTCCTGCAGGGAAAATATTTGTAAGTAAGTGAGAAATGAATATTCGCACTGCTAAGTCTTAGAATTGGCACGGTAAAATTACATTGTTCCACATAGTCTTTCAAATGTGTAACTAAGAAGTTTAAATAATGTCCAAGCAAGTATTGTGTCCAGTTCAAATATCATTAGTTACAACATCAAGAGCCAATTTACAAACCCAATTCCAAAAGCAAAAGAACTTCAGAGGTTCTAAGCAAAAAAAAAAAAAAAAGAAAAGAAAACTGTACAAGCTCCCAAAATACAAGAGTCACATAGAGTAATATTAAGAGCTGCTAAACATTACTTTAATGTCTTGCTATTTTTTAAACTGATATGGGTGTTTCCTAAGAGTCTTAAGGGACTATGGTTCATTTGGCCATATACCATACTTGATGGGAATATGAAGTATCACTTAACATTTATAACAGGCTCTTACATTAGTAGTGATGTTTATAAGTATTTCATTAAATATTTTCTGTTGTAAAACTAAAATGAAAAAAAGAAAAAAAAACAAAAATGAAAACACGCATAAACCTTAATATTTATATCTCCAAATCTTCTTCCTTGTGGTCAAAAGTTGTAGGAGAGAATCTAAAAAAAAACTAGAACTCATTATTTCCTCAGAAATTAAAGGAAATGTAGGTATACTTTGTAATAGTAACATCACAGAGAAATCAACAGATTTTTTTTTTTTTTAGAAATAAAAGGAAATGAAGCCATACTTTCCAATAGTAACAGCATAGAGAAATCAATGACCTATTGGGTGAAATCATTGATACATTATGAGAGAAGAAAATTTTATTTTGAAACAAATTGTCATTTTCTTCAGATCCGGAGGTGGGGGAGTCTTGCTAATACTTCGGACTTTCCAAGAAAAGAAGGCACAATACTTTCCCATGAAGGACAAACACGTGGCAACCAAGTATAGAAGACTTTTCAGGCAAGAAGCTTTGGTTTGGGATTTTCCTAAACGACTTTTATATATTGTTCCAGTTCTCTCTGCTGCCAACTGGAAATTTTCAACCAAATTGTTAGTCAGACATTGTAGAAAGCAAGAAGGGAAGCACAGTGGCCAGCTATAAAGCAATACTGAACAGTTTAGATAAAATTACTTTGTCTTCTACATTCTGACTCTGTCAGTTGAGACAACAATAAAATTGATTACCAAGCAGATTAAGTGGACAATAGTCGAAAGTACTTTCTCATTTCACTCACTGTGGTGTATGTAACTAACATCTGCATCCACTCTTCCTAACCCCTACATTCCGTATACATATTTCAGGCACTCACAAAACGTTGGAATCAGTGTTGATTTTCAGTCCCCAGCTGTGAGTGCCTGTAAGTGTTTATAAATTATTTGCAAGAGCAAGTACCCATTTATTACTTTTTCACTATAACTTTTTCTTCCTGTTAGCAGGAGACTTGGCAACAAAGCATAAAAATTGGCACTTAAGTTCATAGGTATAATATTCAAGAGATATGTCCAGTATAGCTATCCAAACACATTTTCAGAGAGGAAATAAAAGTAATACAACGGAGGACCTCTAGATATAAGACTGTTTTACTCCCTGGAGTCTTTCTGAAGAACAGTTAAGAGTCTGTCTGAAATTATATTACATACCATGTCTGGCAAGGTTTATCACCTATATGAGATTTGCTTCTGAGCTAAACCTTGGGATATAAGGTTTCTGGGAAAATGAAGAAACGTCTAAACAGAGAAGAAAAAAACCAGCCCAGCTGCCACTAACGTCATACAACAATAATCCACAATTATGTTCGCATTGCTTCCAACACTGATAGCCTCAGATTTCTAAAGAATCATTCTGAAGGTCATTAAACAAAAATATGGTCCCTCTGGGCATTTTGAGAGGAAAGCAAAATGAAAGCTGAGATGCTTTGCCCTCACATAGAGGTGGTGGGGGCAGGCAAAAGCCCACACACTTATTTTATTCAAAGATAAATGGCCTCATTTTCTAATGTCATTTTGTGGAAAATCCATATGTAATTAGTTATAACGACTTTTACATTCACTGACCACAGATTCCCGCCCCCCTCCATGCAGGAAGTAAAAGCTAAAATATGTAGAGGACTTAAAAATAGTTCCTGATGAATAGGCTAGAGTCTCTGCATGTCCTTTGAGATAAATCTAGACAGTCGTGTGTACTTTCTAACTTGTCATTTAGATATATAAATGACTCCTTGTATCCAGCGGAAGTATGTTTGTCTGTTTGTAAAGCCAAGGCTTGTGAGAATGTTTTCAGATCATCTTCATTCCTATGCAGACCATGTGGTAAAGATGAAAAAGAAAACTAGGCTTGGGTGAAGATAACTCTAAGTGGAAATTCATGGTTTACCAACTTCTTAAGTCTCAATTTTGCATTTCCTATTATGGGGATAATATTAAGTACCATCTGATTTGCCATGACACAAAGGCCAGGTTTGTTTGCTTGTCATTTGTTGTTGGTTTGTCTTGGATTTTTTGAGTTTTGGTTTTTTTTTTTTGTGATTGTTGTTGCTGTTTTCTTTTCAAGAGGCAGGGTTTTATTCATCGCATTCTTAAGCAGCAGTACCATGTATAGTTGTCATCTGGTGCAGAGAACGTTTTCCATTTTGAAACCTTCCCAATCCTGGGTCGTATCTCTCTAGAGCCACTTGTCCTGTTAAATAAGCCTTGTAGCTACTGGACTAATCAGATAACACTAAATCCTTACTCGTTGGCTAACTACCACCAGTAAAACAATACTTCAGCTGCCTGAATATGCACAGCTCCGAAGAGGGCATTCTAACAGTAATCTTACAGGTGGATGGAGGAATTGTATTTACTCATTAATTTATTTACTTATTTTCATTTAGGTTTTTCGAGATAGGGTTTCTCTGTAGCTTTGGAGCCTGTCCCGGAACTAGTCCTTGTAGACCAGGCTGGCCTCAAACTCACAAAGATCCACCTGCCTCTGCCTCACGAGTGCTGGGATTAAAGGTGTGCACTACCACCGCCCAGCTGAGGAACTGTATTTTGATCGAAGGAGCCTGTATTAAGTATCTTTACCATTACCCCCCACGGATGACTCTCTGTCTGTTCCCAGCTATCTACTATTCAAACAATTATTTTTGCATCATATAGAATTGCAGATGTTTTCTAGGCTTTGGCTCCACTTATTTGAAGTATTTCTTCTCTAAGATACTGGCTGCTAAGTTTAATGATGTCATTACATCAATTCTGCCCCCTACTTGCCTAGTGGACATATCATATTGCCACATTTCACTGTCTCATACCTGATTTATTGTTACGGACCACTGAGTGAAAAATATTCAAGTGCACAAATCACAGAACAATAGCTGTTCTTCTAAGAACAGTTAGTAAAACCACCAAAAAACAGCTCAAATACATAAAAACTCTGAATATTCACCTGGTTTACATTCCCTCCAATATATTGGCCCTAGTTCTATTGAAATAAACCGCATCAATTTGAAGACTTTAGTAAGGGTCAGCTTTATAGAAGTTGTCCAGCTCTAGTTCTTTTTCATCCAGCTTTATTTTCTAGCTGGCTACCCCTTCGTGGAGCAGGTTTTCATAAGACATCCTTGCATGACAAATGCCAGTCTATAAACCCCAGTTTCTTTCCCTTTCGTCCTCCTTTGGATACAGATAACTCATGCAAGCAGTTGCTAGATTGGGAGAGCTGAATGCACAAAAGACACATTTATTCATGTAGTCTTTTTAAATAACCTGTTGGCTGACTCATTTAGATCTTGGAGTTTTTCTCCCCTGTACCCATAATCTACTTAAGAGATATCATCTTCATACCCATGGAAGGTTTTTTAATCCATTTGTTATGGTCGTCATGGTTCATTTACTGCCATTTGGTACACACAATTCATTCCTCATGGCCAGAAGATCATGAGGGTTGATTTAAATATTTCACCTGATTCTGAGGATTAATCACCAAGCAGCTGTGTGGATGAAGGCCCGTTAGTGACTTCTGACCCTCAAATCACTTATATCTGAGTAGATAACACCCACCCCCTTAGGACGACTTCTCTCCTTTCTCCTGCACTGTGTACTGTCCCTTGAGGCATCTATTCATCAGTTTCATGGTCTTCAGGAAACCCATGTTTTCTGTAATATGAAGACAGGATAGGTGGCTAAGACTACAAGTATGAATTGGGAATGGACCTCAACCTCATCAGTCCTACCTCTACCCTAAACCAAAAACCGAGAATATCTCACTCCAAGGAGTCTTTCCCCTCCTGAATTTTAATCTTCCAATCATATCTTCAACCTTACTGTTGATAATAATAGCCCATAGTCAAAAAGAATAAAGTTTTGTACCTGAACACTTGAATAAGAAATACCAGTTTTGTGCTTCTGAGCAGTTAGTTGCTGCCCCTATTTTTAAAAATTGGGAGCAATAATATGTATTGAGATGACAAAGATTAAGTGGGGCAATGCATATAAATGTCCTGTATTATAACATATTGTAAGTTAAAATTGTGTAATAAATCCCAACTCTCATTCTATGACTGTTAACTCAGTAGTCTTTTTTCAGATTGGTTATTCACCAATTATAGAGAATTAATATAACTAGCATTTCTAGAGGACTCTAGAAACAGCATTTTAAGTGGTTATCATTCTAGAGCTGGGGCCATCTTTTACAGTCTGTCATCAAAAGGGGTTTAAAGTCATCACTATCATTCTTACAAAAATAAAAAACACCTAAACAAACTGAAGCTCAGCAGTTCTCAGAATCTTCAGACAGTTGATGTCATGGAGGAAACATCCACCACAAGTACTGCAATGACACAGAATCGTAGCTCTTAGGAACAGGAACTGGAATAACTGTTTAAACACTATAACTCCCACTAGCCTTTGAATTGTAGGAGGAAAAATAAAGACAATAGGTATGTGTGATGGTATCTACCTAGAAACAAGGCTCACTAAATCGCTGAGACCCAATAATAAAAGGACAGAATGTAGAATGCTTCCC